TATATCAGAAAGTGCTTTTAACATGCAGTATCGCAATATTGGCGCTAGAGAGAAGAAGCCTAATGTGTAAAACTGTCATTCTTCTTTCGCAATGGCTAGCAATAAAACATTTCTGTATTTGCTAAAATAGTTGTATTAATGTCTAACTAAAGTTAACACGGTATTATTAGACTGTTAGGCGGAACAAAGTAAGCCGGGTCAGCTAGTTTGTAATAAAATAATATTGCGGGTATAAATTAAGCTGTCTTATCTTTTAAGTTAGATCAAACTGCACATGGTGCATGGTGCAAATTTGATATAAATCGGTTAAGTAGTTAAGGAGTCCATAGCGGACAAACAACGTGACACGTAATTTATATATTACTTATAAATTATTAGTTTACCTTTAACTCTTTTATTCAAACGTACTATAACTCTATTGACGGTACTGTTTTTTTATATAACAGGGGGCAAACTCTGGAATCCTTGTAAGGATATCAATATAATAGTATAATAGGTATCTTGCGTTAATTCAACTTATGAGTGAAGTGAAAAAATTATTATTTTGAGATTTTTTGTACGAAACATACATACTGGTAAATAGTCATTTAGATCAAATTTTGAGAGATGCGCCCCTACTGCTATCAAACGCCTTTTAAAATCGTTGTTGTATGTATTTTGTCTATTATGTTTGTACTATAAATTGCTGCGATACATCACAGTTTTGCTTCTTTTTAATTATTAGTTGTGTTACTCATAATTTAATAAAACAAAATCTTATCTGTGAAACAATATAAGGACACTTGTATATATATTTTTAACATATCTTGTATTTCTAATGTGTCTGTTTCTGTATAGTAAAATTTTAAAATATTTGTCCAATAAATATAAATAAAAATTGATTAGTAATCAAAACAACCAATACAATATTTCAATTTTCTTTTTGTTTTCTTTGGAGTAGATCTCTTGGGCCGTGGGGTTCAAGGACGGGTGCTAATTAATGATTTAAGTTGGTATCTAGGTTGGTTGGTAGATAGTACCAGTGACCCCAGAGCTGATGCTTTTCTCACTCAACGAATAAGTACCGCAATAGTGTGAATGCTGTCTGCGTTAGAGGTACACTGCCAAACCAAACTTTATTTCTATTAATTTTTAATTATTTTTATCATTACGATATAGGTTATAAAAATATTATATTTCTTCGTAAAATTAGATGAAATAAAGCATTTTACATAACTAAGCGGTAAGAAACTAATGCGATTTTAAGTCTACGTACGGAATAATATCTTAAATAAGATTACTGTTATTTTCACACTCACAGGCGTATTTTCTTGTAATAATTAGATTTTCTTTAAGATGTTTCGAGTAGATAACATCTACACTGTTCGTAGACACTTGCGTAGCATCGTAGCTCATAGCTATCGTAGCATTGACGATATTATAATAGCCTACGTTTACGTAAGGCTGTTTATTTTTAGCTTGTATCGATTGTTGTAGATTATTTGGATTATATGTGGTCTAATCCCTAAGTTAAGTCATACATATTATATCATTGTGCACGTGAATCATAGAGACACTTATATCATTTTAAAGTCACTGGATTAAACTTATGACGTGTACTGATTTATACCAGGTAATATCTTCTGTGTAGATTCCTATTGATGTACTCATTATATTTAATTACTGGTAAAATTTAATCTTAATATCTACGTGTTTTAAAAAGAGTTTTATAAGTTTGGCCCTTCTGTGCGTGTCTCTTAAATAAAAAACCTAATGAAGTGTGATGACTGTGAACAAATGCAGGGTATTTCCGGTCATGGTTTTATCAAATCGATCCAAATTACTATAACACAGTATAAAAGCATTGCAGTTATCAAATGAAAGTTACGACCGAAAGCTGAAATGATTTCGTGTCAATGCCACATGCATAGCCAATTCGGAAAAACAAGGCAAAAACTGCGTGTTTTGTCACGACAAGCCATCAAAACGAAGTTTATTTTTATCGCAAATGCAACCGAGTGATATTTAAATGGATGAATGATCGATTTGACTTTTTCAATTGGTTTTGGAATCGAGAAATGATTGCGTTCCCTTCTTTTTAAGACAATTGATTTATTGGCTATTGGTTTTTTAATACACTGTTGTATTTTTCATGATAATAATAATTACTATATCTTTATATCTATATATAAAATTCTCGTGTCACAATGTATGCCCATACCCCTCCGAAACGGCTCGGCCGATTCTTATGAAATTTTTATGCATGTTCAGTAAGTGAGCTACTATCTATATTTCAACCCTCTAAATGATAAAGGGGTCCACCCCAATTTTTTTTTTTTAGATTCTTTTTTGTTTTTATTTTTTTATGATACAGTATACAGAAATATGTTCGTTTAAAAATACTTTAATGATAAGATTAACTTACTTTGTTGGTTTTATAATAAAAAATTGATTTTAAAGCACTGTAATAGCCTATGGTTTCATCAGAGTCTCATCAGTGATCCATAATTTTGACCTCCCAATTCGATTGTGTAATTTTATAGAGTTTATCTATGGTGCTAATCTAAGCGTTATCAGTGCATAGATCGTTAAGTACGCCAGTAAAGAGGTGAAGGTTTCGACCTGTATTCGTCCTAGTTGCTTTGAGACACTCCCAGCGGCAACACGTATCATTGAACTGAGTTGGAGTTAAAACAATTAATAGCATTGTACTGTTCCATGCTACTAGTAGCTTTTATCTAAAATGTATGACAAATGAGCTTTTCTAAATAAACAATGGAAAATATCTTTTATTATTTCAATATACATAAATTATTAAAGTTAATTTTGGAGTCAATAGTCAATGGAATTGAAATACTTTTATACTATTGATTTCTCTAAGCTTGATGTGTGAAGAATTCTGTAAGACTACCCATTCTTCTTTCTCTTCTCCAGAACTATTCTTTTACTATCTCAGAATATAACTTCATTAAACATTGTATTCTATAATGCTTTGTTACTCCACTTTTTTATGTTACTAATTAAAAGGCCTATAAACTTGTCTACTTTAAATAAAAAAACAAAACACCGAACAACTGCAGAAATCCATCACAATGAATGAATCAAAATCACGTCCTATTTAAAACGTTGAATACGAAAATAATGGCATTTTCAGAAATCATTCATCGCTTACATCTTTTGTATTTGAACAATATGCTAGGGTTTTATAAAAATGCTGATTCTCAGGATATGTGCCAGATGTTGTGTCCCTTTTTTATGTAGCTCTTAAAATATACTGACATTGTTGTAAGCAATATTAATATTTTGTTAAATACACAGTTCAAGTATATATGAATTTTATTGGTTTTGTTGCGACATAGACAAACGTTAAGAAATACATAATACCATGAAATGTTTTTCTGAAGCGATCCAGAGTTCAATTTCAATATATATAGATAAAAGATAATTCGCTCTTGATTTTTATCTTGCAGCTCGAAATACAGCTTTCATATACAGCACTACTAATTTAACAATAATTAAATTAGTAGTGACAATAATTTAATTTAATTTTTATACTCTTTCTATAAACGATTGGAGGTCGTATCTCCCAGGGAAGACCCCCACCGGGAGTCGATTCAGCAATTCGCTAGTTCGCAAAAGAAAGTGTCTTGTGAAGCGGAACGTCGAAGAATTCCAGCTATGAAGTTGATACGGATGGAATTTTAAATAAATACCGGTCGTACGGTGTACTTATGAATTTGTCAGAACTACTATAAAACATTTTAAATGAATACTTTAAATCGAAAAGATATTGATTGTATAAAAACTGTATAAAATTACCCTTTCACTTAGATAACAATTTTCCAATGGATTGGTAAGTGATTTTAAGAACAATTCCTCAGAGTTCCCGGGATGAAACTTTAGGTCAGAGCCAGCCGTAAATCGGGTCACCGACATTAACTGCGAATAGTGCGAGAGCTAGGGTTGCCAGCTTATGTTTATTTTTAAGGCAAAATAGAATTAAAATAAATTTCAAAAGTTTGGTCCCTTTGGCAGTATACCTTTAACGCTGGCAGCATTTCCTCGCTGTATTGCAATACTTATTCTTTGAGCTAGGACAAAACTGAGGTCACCTATACTATCTACCAGGCGCCAACTTAAATCTTTATTTAGCGCCTATTCACTTGAACCCCACGGCCCAAGACCAAAGGGAACAAAATCGAACTTGGAGAAAAGAGTAAATATATGTTTCTTCATGTTTATTAATAACATTAATTCATATCTGGTTGCGGTATGTATGCGAAGCGAAAACCAACTAGTGACTCTACAAGCTTTTCGGTCTGGGCCTCAAATTTCTGTATCTGTGTCGTGAACATTTATTTTATACAATGGGCGTGTGTATGGCACCTACTTGTCACACGCCGTCAACTTTTTGGTGCGGCTTCCTCACGATGTTTTCCTTCACCGTACGAGCGAGTGTTAAGGTGCATAGCCGGGGTCTGACCTCGAAGTCCTCAAAGATGAGAGTCGCCACTAAACCCACTTGGCAACAAGGCTATACGAGGAATAATAATACTAATTCCTTTCGAGCGATAGTTTTAAAGTGAATATCAATAAAACAATTCCATATATGTACGCAGAAAAACGCACCACGAAACAAGCCTGTATGACGTACTTCCACCCGTATCACCTCGACGTCCGTCGTTTCACAACTTCACAACTGAACATATTTTAAAGCAGTTTTTGCACAATGTGGATCCAGCTGCCCATTCAAATATTTTTGATCTAATTCGAAATCAAGAAAAGAGCGTACCAATTCTTAAAAGGCCGGCAACGCAGAGTCCTCTGGAATTGATGGTGTTCACGGTCGGCGGTAACACTTAACATCAGGTGATCCTTCTATACGTTTGCCGTCTTTTCTATAAAAAAAAGACGCATCCCTTCTGATACGACTTGATATGCTGCCACAAACAAAATAAACAAGCCATCGTTTTGTCTTTTGTATAATGTACCCCTCCATCCCCTGGTCTTTTTGCAGCAAAATGTTTACATTTAATTCGATCATGCATAAAAATATAAAAAGTAAGTTTGGCAACCCTATTTACAAGGAACATCGTAAATCTCGCGCACGACGTGACTACTGTTTCCTCGCGAAATTGAACTTTTTCCTCTAAATGCAGCGATTTCTCGAGTATTTCAAATGTAACCTGCATTTTTGCAATCAGATTTCGATATTACCTAACCTAGGTAGAAAGTCGGATGACATCTGCAGTTTTCCGGTTTTGTGATACATTTTACAAAACTATATAACATACTAGCGGTTCCGACATACAAAAAATCTAATAATGTTAATTAGTTTTAATTTTCTTTTTATTCATTTTTAATTGCTTTTTTGATTACTATGTAGGTTAAGAAAATTGTAAATACTGTATGTTTGATTGTATTGTTATTTTAGGGGGAAAAAAATAATGTAATCATTCTCGATTCCTCACAAAAAATTTCATCAAAATCTTTCCCGCTGCTTAGGGGCTTACTTACGAACACATGCACAGATTATTATTTACCAGCTGTTTATTTGTTGTATAGATAAATAACCAAGATACCAATTACAGCGCCATCTGCCGGGCTAATTGTACAGTGAATCTACAAACAAAAATAAAATCAAATCGATAAAGCCGTTTAAGGGGAGTTCAGGGACATACACACGTACAGTAGAATTATGTATAGGATAAGAGACACATGATGGTCTCTTCCAGAATGACCAGCAGTGTCAAACACGTCTGCTCCACATCCACAACACACACACATTACACACTTAAAATGTACTTTATTCCTATTTATCCAGAATTTTTTAGTATTTCCTTTTTTTATTATAATTATGGTTATTTTGTATGCTTCTGGGTGTGTCGTTAGTTATAAATGATATAACGAGCTTTACAATTTGTTGTTGCAAAATTTTTTACGGATGAAACGCAATAATAATAATATTAGCGTCACGAAGATGTGCAGCGTTTTTGTCGAAGAAAAGGGAGAGAGCGATTGAGAACGAGCGAGAGAGAGTGAGAAAGGGCGAACGTAGCATGATGCAAATAGCCATGGAGCGAGAATCGGGAGCAAGCAAGTGAGAAAGATCGAGAGAGAATAATCGAGAAAAAATACACGCTATCGGTTGATGTATCCGTTTAGTAGTATATTAGAACTTTAGAATGGCCATTCTGTCGCATAACGTCTTGTGCAGTAAACGCCGATTTTTTATTTACTTTTATATTATCATTAGCACGTACACAGTGTGTAAACAGTGTGAAATATACAAATACATGGAGTGATCATATACATACATGACCATCTATATGGGCTTTTACCTAAGTAATAATTAATTTACAAAGAAGTTTCACTTCTGACATGAGTACTGTGTACGCTCGCACTTTTTTTTATGTAACAGGGCAAATGATGGGCTCACCTGCCTTACGCTCAAATCAGTCGTGAAGCAGTCATTTTATGATTTGGCATTCTGATAAGGAGGGAGCTTGTAGTTTATGGTTTATGGTCGTATGAGCGCGACCGCCGCTGCGAAAACCGCTGTGTGAGTTCGAAAAGTGAGTTACAGAATCGCAAGGCTGATGTTGCTCTGAATTGAGGTTACATTGGTATACAAAATCAATGTATGTCCTACGTATGTTGAATGATATATGAGAATCTGAAAATAGACTGTCGACATGAATTGAAATAATTTCACTGCGGCGTTTCAAATTCTGAAATGTACCTCTGTTTCCGAACACCGAGTTTATAGGTTACGGTTACAGTGTATTGTCTGATAATTTTAATTTTATATTGTTTGCTACGGAGTTTCAACGTTGACGTAACTTCTATAAGTATCAAATATTTTCTAGATCAAACAATTTATCTACTTTGTGTATTCCTTTATTTATTTTCTTCTTTCGTATTGCAGTATCGGAAATTTTCAGTTAGTACGTATAATTCAAATACGTGATTGTGCCTGTAAGATGCGTTATTTAGGGGAATGTTTAAGCTACTCTTAAACCAGCGTTAAAGAATAGTCTCTATATTTTCACAACATCTTTTTTTAATGTTCACATTCACACTCACATTGCCAGAAGGCTCGCGAGTGCGTTACCGGCCTTTTAAGAGTTGCTACGCTAAAAGGACCCTAAGTCGAATTAGTTCGTAAATACATTGGTGGGCACGTGGTACCACATAGTGGTGTTGCGCGGCAAAAACTGCATTAAAAACGCTCCGTTGTTATTATTCTATTTTATTACAGTGCTAGTATTGATTAATGACATTTGATTACAACTATTCGTTTTAATAATTCCAGCTGAGAATAATGCGGTGATGGCGGATGGCGCGGGCGCGGAAGCGGGCGCGGGCGAGAGCGCAGCGCGCGGTGCGGCCCTCGAGCGTGCCTACGTGCACGACGTGTACGACCAGGCGGGCGAAGATGAGCCTAGCGAGCCCGCGCCCGCCGTCACTACATTCCTCAAGGAACTTGAGCCGGGTGCCCTCGTCTGCGATGTCGGTAAGGGCTTAACAAATGTTTTTATAGGTTTGATTTTAAGGATGACTGGAGACCAGACTGTATTACGATTTGTTAATTTAAAAGGCTGGCAACGCACTCGCAAGTCCTCTGGTATTGAGAGTGTCCATGGGCGGCGGTAGGTATAACATCAGCTGAGCCTCCTGCCCGTTTGCCTCCAGTACTAAAAAAAATACTTCTTGTTACATTTCTTTAATATTCATAGCGCTGATGTCGTAATCTCGAAATTATGTCCGAACAATGTTGAAATTGGAATGTATTGGAAGTTACCTTACCTTACATTTTGTAGTGTATTAATATGAAGTGATAAAAATGGGCAAGTATAACTCACAAAAGTGAAGGGTCTTAATTTTTAACATCCTACCTACCTCTGCTATAAATAGATTTTAATACGTCGTTTGCACAGTACAAATACTAATGGCAACACGGAATGTCATTGAATTTCTTAGGTTAGTATGATTTATTGTCTTGAGGCAATTACTCATTTTTATTTCTATAATATATTTTTTTCCGAATAGTTAACAGGTATAATAGCCTAAACTTTGTTTTATTTGATAGAATATTTCGTTTCTTTCGCAGGAGTTGATTATTCCGAATAAAGTTGTGTTTTATAATAAATATAGTTTTAGTTTCCATGCAATGCTCGTCTCTTTAGTAAAAGACTAAATGTCTAATATGTATAGTATTTAATTTCATAGAAATAAAGTTACTATCAATGTAAAAAATAATAAAATAAAATCAAGTATCAAGTAAGTTTAATCCACAAAATTTATCAAACTTTTAGGGATACCATACTAATTTTTTTTTAATTTGCCGCGCTTTTTCGTTATCTTCTTTCATTAGCCAGACTATAGTAAATAATCTTTCTCATTGGATAAAATATTCTCAAAGAAACAATGCACTGCGGCTAAAAATATATATTACAATTCCCAGTTTACTGTAATGGTATAAATATCTCATTATACGCCCACGCGGTTTTATGTATATATAACGTACAATTAGCATTCAATTTTCAACGAAATAAGGTAAATGTCACAGCGTGGGAGGTAACAAAGATCGCTACTTGGAAATGTGATACACCCTAGAGCTACATTATTATCATTTTCAGGTAAAATAATATAGACAGGCCACTTTTTGACTCTCGAGAAATGTGCTCGACTCATATAAAAATGAAGAAAGATTTTTTAACACTGCAAAATACTGCCCATAACAGAGAAAGTAAATAAATGTCTTCTAGTCGCGACTGCTATGGTTACATTTATATAAACCACAGCGGTTTCCTTTACATATTACGATTTTATAACTAATTAAAAATAAATAAAAAGATAATTAAAACAAATTTTAAAACTTTGGTCCCAGTGGCTCATTTACTTTCTGTATTGCGATACTTATTCATTGAGCAAGGCACCAGCTCTGGGGTCACAGGTACCTATCAGGCGCCAACTGAAATCTTTAATAATTAGCGCCTGTGCATTTGAAGCCCACGGCCCAAGAGTCTCTACTCCAAAGGGAACAAAATCGTAGTTGGATTTTATTATATTATTATGTAAAATAAATTAATTAAAAAAAGATAATATTGCATGGGTGCTATTCTACTTGGAATATAATAAAGCTTATTTTTGAGGTTATACTACTTTTGGCGCTTTAGAGAAAAATCATGAGAGTAAATTTTTACGATGCGCGCTCACACCGTCACAAGAAACCGTCACCCTGAAGTTAGCTATAATCACCATTTTAGTTTTTTGTATTGTTAGTATGGTTTTTTCTACAAATGTAGAATAAAATCTTTGAAAAGATTTTTATCTTATTACGCCAAAGAAGAAACTTCTAACGCGTGTACATGAGTACACACAGGTTTTTTTTATTAGCAGGAATAGCCACGGATTTTATTACACCACGGGACTTTGGAAAACGTGTTTTGATTAAGTTAATAAAAATGAAAAATTACGTATGGCTTGCTCTTATTTATTCATTTATTAAAATTCACCACCTACATAATGCTATATCTGGAGTATACGTTACAAGCGTTTCTAAAATATATGACAACTAGCAGACCGGCCAAGCGTTGCTGTGGCTAAGGTTTTTGTTATATTACATAGCAGTAAACTATTCAAGGGAAACGGTAGGAGAACTTATGTGAAAGGTAGATAGGTTATGTGAAACGTTGGTACTTTTAACACAGCGCCATCTGTTAGAATTGTATCAAATAATAAACAAATATTTGCTATAAAATAATATTGCGGGTATAAATTGAGATGTAAGCTATCCTATCTTTTAAGTTAGATCAAACTGCACACGGTGTGCAAATTTAATTGATATCGGTTCGGTAGTTTAGGAGTCCATAGCGGACAAACAACGTGACACGTAATTTATATATATTAAGAAGATTAAGATTAGTGTGAACATAAATGTGTAAAAAATTCAAATATTACACTTCCAATTTTAGATTTTACTAACAAAAAGACGCTGTTTTTTTAAACATTGGATTTGGTATCAGTTGGACACTAAATGATGTTTTTTTTGATCAGCCCACTATAGATCAGTCCATCTGTCACGTATTGCACGCCTCATTAGCGGAGCGGAGGCAGTGCTCTACTCTCGACATATCAAAAAACCCAGTCTTTCGAAACTTGAATGACTTTTTTCTCACTAATATAACACTTACAGGATAAATATGAGTGCACTAAAATTTAGTTAAATAATAATCTATCAAGCACAAATGGTATTTTTTATGAACAATTATTTTGTTTAACATAGTAAATAATAACATTAAAATCAATCATTCTTGGATGTCCGTCAGTCTGTGTTTATGGATCCATGTATGTGGCAGAGAAATTGGTCGAAAAATTTATCGTACCAGAATACTTTTTTTTCTTCAGCTTAGTACAAGAGCTGGTCAAAATATTATTATTAAATAGATTTTTATGCGTATAAATTTGATTTCAGGTTGTGGAAATGGAAAATACCTGAGTGTGAACCCCTCTGTCTTCGCAGTGGGTGGAGACAGATGTACCAGACTATCGACGCAAGCGCACCAAACTAACAATGAGGTTGGTAAAAAGTTAAACTCTCTTTTAACTATTTAATTCATTCAGATTAATATTGAACAATAAGCTATTATCTTTATAAATATAATTCTACTGTATGTGTGTATGTTACTGAACTCCTCTTAAACGGCTGGACCGATTTGAACGAATTTTTTTATACAAAAAATATATGCAGACGCGTTTGATTATATCAACCATATTAGTTAATCAACCATTGTAGATCATTTTAGTAGGAAACTAAAGAGTTTAAATTTTATTCAATTAAATATCGAGTTACCTAAAACACAAATTTTCTTTGACAGGTTGTTGTATGCGACAACCTCAGTCTACCGTTCCGCGATGAATCATTCGACGCGGTACTCTCTATTGCCGTGGTCCACCATTTTGCAACAGTGGAAAGGAGAGCCATGGCACTACGAGAGCTCGCCAGAATCACCAGGATCGGTGGTCGATTGCTCCTCACTGTGTGGGCTATGGAGCATGAGGGACGGAACTTCCATTCACAGGTGCATTTTGAATTTGGCATATTGATTGACTTGTAGTACTGTTTTTCAGTAAATTTTATTGTATCACTTTGGAAATTGTAAAATAGAATTCAGTTAACATTAATCGACAAAGTATAATATCATTTATTTTTTAGGATGTTCTGATACCTTGGCATAGACCCGTGACGTTATGTCCTCCACCACCAGCACCACGGTTCCTTTCCGTAGAGCATGATCAGTAAGTATTATTAGATGAAATATTTGTTGAATATGCGTATTTCAACGTTTACATTTATGAATAAAGATACATAAATATTTACAGAAGCGCCGAGCCGTGGAAAAGTCACGATGGCTCGCCTGGATCATCATCTTTGTCATCTCCAAATGAAACTTGCTATTCATTCGTGAGAAGAGCATTACAAAGGATAGCTGGTCGACGATCGTTTCTTCCTTCTTGGAATCTTGGATCGAGGGTAAACTTAAGAGCTTGTCCTCGTGGCCAACTGGAACCACCGGCGGCTGATCTACCTATTGAATTACGAAGATTGGATGAAGTTCTACCTTCAAGATTGATAGCGCAATCTTCAGAGACATCTACACTAAAGTCTAGAAGTCTCACCGATATCGCAGATGTAGAACGACATGCCATGGTTAGATCGAGGTCGAGTCTCCCAAGTCTCGGTGGAGAGGGGCACGAACCACCAACAATACAACCACCTCCGACTGACGTACCAGAACAACGAAAAAAGCCGAAATTAGTCAAACAAAAAAAATCTATTAATGAAGATGACGCAGAAGAGGATTTAGATAAACCAACGGACATGAAAAGCCTTGTCGAAGAGATGCCTAATTTCAAAGTTCATACATACAGAGCGCAATCGAGAAAGCCAGGCGTCTTCAAGCAAACTTCCCTAAACGAAGAACTTATGTCAGTAGAAAGGTTACGAGAGAAAGAACGTTTAAGAAAAAATATACAAAAGCAAGCGTCACTCAATGAAGAATATTTATTTCGAAGGCCTGGAACTTTTGACTCAATTCGTGATTCAATATTCTCAACATCAGCCACTACTGCAAAGAAGTTTCAGTCACTTAAAAATGGTCTTACAAATAAATTCAAAACCTCTACAACGAATATAGATAAAGTAACTGTTTTCGTCAGAATGTTGCAAGGCTGGAAAAATCATGGACCTGCTCCTGAGGTTCCAACAACACCAAGTGATACCAATTCAAACAGTGAGAAAACTTGCCCCGAAAGGAGACATTCTAGGGAAGATGGTTCAGATTCATCAAAAGATAGCAGCTTACAAAGTGATACAAGTGTCGATTCCGAAGACAGTTTTGCTTCAGTTATATATGTACCAAAGGCTGATGGAAGCGATCCTCTATCACCAACCCCTTTATCTCCTGGTCCAACCTCACCAAGATTAAAAGTATCTTCAGTACCTACTTCCCCTAGGATGAAAAATTCCCCTGGTTTACCTTCACCGAGAATTAAACAGTCATTTCCTTTAATAAGACCTCCATCTTCACCTAATGCTGTACAAGCAGCTGCTAATTTTAATAAGATACTAGTGGCTCAATATAGCTTGAAAAATTATTCTACCACCAATAACGCCCCTGTTATTTCTATAAAGCCCCAATCAAAGAGCCAGCCCAATTCACCACCAAAACCTGAGGACGAAACCAAAACTATAAGTACAGCAATTGAAACTTTGCCCATACTTAATAAAACTATACCAATTTCAGTCCCAGAAATATATGAAGAAATCGATCCAATACCTCCTATCAAAGAAGAAGAAGAATTTATTGAAACTCCTTCTGAAGTGACGAAGGAACTTATCGCAGAAATAAATAAAGACATTGAAGAGATCCACAAGCTGACATTAGAAACAAATGATCTCAAGCCTCGCATACTTCAAGATACAAAGCCATATCCCAAAATAACTCTTCAAACTGTTGCTGAATTACCAGAGATACCGCAGTATAAACATAAAGACAAATCTGATGTATTAGACTCAAGACACGCAGATAAAAAGCGAAAAGAGAGAATAAGGCAAATAAAAGAAATGTTAAATAAAGGGATTCCTTCTTTAAGTATAAGTCGACGGCCACCGTTTCCAATTGTACGAACGACAGGAAAATCTGAACCTATTGCCAAGAGTCATCCAAAACTTATGTCCTTAGAACTATTTAATCCTGCTGTTGATGACATGGACAGTGATTCCAGTGGAGTTTCTTCTCCCGATTCAGTTGACAGCGTAATCAGTGTAATACCCGAAGAATTGCGCAAAATGGCGATGGAAAAAGGTAAGTTCTATGAAGTAGTGTTACTTAAATGTATTATTTAAGGTCTTTGCCGGATTGTTTTGCTACTATGTCAATGGATTTACGCAGATTATATTATCTTTTTAAGTCACATTTTGGATAAGGCCTTAAAAAAATGTAGAATATACTGGTTTTTGAATAATTATTATTTATACGTTTCTTTTTTTTAGATTTGTCTACTTCCGAATTAGAAGCAAAGAAAGCTGAGCCAGCTTCCGAAAAAATAACCGCCAACAAGAGTAGTTCACCAAATGTTTTAGATGCTGTGGCTGAAGTGGCACAATCATTGGATGATACATGTGAAACGATTATTCATACAAGTCCTAGATCTAAACGGAAACATTTTGAAAAAGTAGAGAGTTCTGATACAACGGCCATAGTTCAAGGAGCTTCAAGTAGTAGCAGTAGTAGTAATTGGAGTTTAAATAAACTTTCACCGGGAGATTTGAGGCTATTAGAAGATAAATCTCGATCACAGTCACATACAAGTTCAAGTGGAAGTTCTTCTAGCTTAGAACGACTTTCGCCAGGCAGACGGTCAAAAGACCGATCCCCAAAGCTAGGAAGTACAAGTAATTCAACGTGGAGCTTAAACAGGCTATCCCCAAATAGACCAGAAGGCCGTTCACTTGACGAGAATTACACAAAGAGTCATCGCAGTCCAACACGTTTACCTTACGATTCAATATCAATATCCAGCACAGACTCAGAGAAGTCAATTTCCAAATCAGAAAGTTTCAACAGAATTCAAGCTAACGAACCTTTAGTCACTTGTAAATCTGACATGATAGCAAAAGATGAAGATTGGGTAGATCAAGACCGGAGTCAACACTTAACTGAATTTGCTGAAAAACTCAGTGAAAAACTTTTACAGGAAATTGATCATTATTCAAAACGCATTAGCGAAGAAGACTTTGATCTTCCGAGCAGTAGCAGCAGCGAAAAAAGTATATCCTTAAGACTGAAACGGGAAGAGGAAGACAGAAACACTCAAAAGATATTAGATGAGCTGTCAGATAGTCTACAGCATCTTGAAGATCCCTGTCTAACCAAGAGTGATAAGGGGAATGAAAGCCTTAGTATAGGAAAAATATGTGAAAAAACTAAGTATGTTACTTGTTTACAAGATACACAAGAAGTTGATATTAATAAATTATTTCCTAAGTGTTCAACAAAAACTAAAAGCAAGAAGAGATCCAAAGACGTAGACCCAATCATAAACAAATACAGAGAACTCAAGAAAACTATGAAAGTAACAAGCGAAGAGGACATATTTTTAAATAATTGTGCCAATATTCAATACAACATAAAACCAATAACAGATGAAAAGCTCCCGGATACGATAGAATTCAAAAATCCTGACGATGACAGTGCAATCTCCTCCAGCAATGGTAATCCAGAGATAACAATCGACTCTGGGGCTTATGATACAAGTCAATCACTGGAAACTGGATATTCACTGGAGTCAGAAATCAGCGTGGACTCCCTCTGTACTAGTACTGACAAAAGGTCTTCGTTGAAAGTGGGTCAGTCAACTGACTCTAGCGACTTGGACAAAATGGAAATAAGTCCTGAATCCATAACTTCTCGTTCAAGCACAAGCACTGCGCCTTTAAAATCTGGCTTCTCCATCGAATCAAGTGATACTTCCGCCGGATGTGACTGGAGTCGTAGAGACAAGACGGGAAGTACTGCTTCCTTGGGCTGTGCTAGTTTGGCTTCCCTGCCTTCCTGTAGTGAATGCTCTAAGGAGAGAAAGTTTTTAGAAATGCGTTCGTCATCAGAGGATACCGCAACAATGCCAGTGGTACCACCGCGATTGCCGCACGCCCCGCTCCTGCCCTCACTGAGCGACGGCTCTGACAGCCTTCCTTCAGAAGGGGGAGCAGTAACCTATCATCGATATTATCATGTCTTTAAAAAAGGAGAGCTTGATCAATTAATTGAAAAGTACGTAGAAAGTCTTCACGTGGTATCCTCATACTACGATCAGGCGAGCTGGTGTGTTATTGCTGAAAAAGTGCAAGTGTGGACTATTTAAGTGACATCGTTGTACAAAAAATTAATGGATATTATATGCGATTATGTATAACTAAGTTCTCTCAAACTGTACAGTGAAGAATACATCCAAGTGACCTTACGGACTCTAATGAGCGTATAATTGGATAATCGGAGTTATGACATGTAAACTTACAAATGCCAAAAGCGAGGCTTTTGATTTAAATATATAATAGACATTAATCTATATAAATAACTGTTATTACTAATGTAATCGTATTTACTCGCCCTCTCCAGAGGCTACCGAACTCTTAAGGGCCTTTAGGGCTCGCATAAAATGAAAACTAAGAGCTTTAAATAGTGAAAAAAATAATTATAATATATTATATATTTCAGAGGCTCAAATAATATAAGCTGCTTATAGCTTATCTATCGTTCTATCGATCAAGTTTACCTGCAGTGTAGTCGTTTATACCGTTCTTCAAGACGTTATTGTTCGATTGTGCTAAATTATTCTATGACAATAACACAATTTATTTAAATATAACATATCCATACGAATTACTATCGAAACGTAGTTTTTTAGTTTTGAACAATGGTATAAACATTTGAATTTAAATCGTATTTTCAGTATTATAATCAGAGCTGGCCTCGCTGTTAAATTTGTACAAAGTTCTGCATAATGACTTACTTCCAAACCTAATCGATTTATAATTGTTACTTGTACGATAATCACGTCATAGTTAAGTCGTAAAGTTAACATCATTTGTTTAAATAACCGTTTTTGTTTTCACACTACATATTATCAACATACTAGATAAAAACTACGTTCGTCACTAGATATATTACGATGAATAAGGAAAGCACTCTAATAACGAAATATTTTCGACTACTTTTTCAAATACTTGAAAGTACAAATACTCATAAGTGTACTTGGCGTTCGATTTCTGTAACCATTCATTTTGATACACATTTTTACGTAGATTCATTTCAAGAGAGATAAGTACGAATTATATATTATTTGTATGCGAATCTACTAGACAAAATGTTCATTACTATACTCATAGTAACACCGGGGCTGATCTAAAGATGTTCTCCGAAGTTTTTTAACAATAAAAAAATAAAGAAAATATTCAATATGATTTCTCTGTTTTAAGTTGCAACAAAGCTGTCAAAACTTAGCACGAACAACTACTTCCTTGAGCTTTTAATACCCTTAGGCCTAGTAGCAGCCAAAAGTAATGAAGATCAGACGTGACACTGAACAGTCTGTTTAGTAGAAAAGTTATCTCAGGCAAACTGGCATTGCTTATGCATTTAGTACAGCCTGTTAATTAATTTCAATGTAAATATCGCTCTAACGAAGCTATAAGAGTAATTATGTTATCAGAATCAGTGAGATTAAACTTAATTTAATTAGACAAATAAGGCTGTATATTTAATAATTACATACTTGCAAATACAATTACTTAACAGACAATGATGGACATCTCCCGAATTCGTTCGTTTGGTTAAAAAGGACGCAATAGTCATTAGGCATGAATCTCAAGTAATCATTGAATGTACAGCTATTTAGACAAATACTTTTAGTATTTAAGTAGTATTAAGAAAGGATGAAAGCACAAGATAATAAAGTCCAAAGATTATTTTAAATCGTCACAGTTTTCTAAGTGCCACGACATTTTTTATACTGATACATTTGTCTTGTGAATGGGTTTGGGAAGTCTTAGTCATGTATGAAGGTACTATGATTTGATTCTCGTATGTATTTACGATATTGAAAATATAAAAATTCTTTATACTGAAATAGTACTTATTTATATAAGGAATAATTGGAATACATTCAACGATCTGGCGACTTAAATTAACTGCCGTTTTAATAAAGCCAGTTTCGACCCACATTGTCAAACATGTACTAAAGTATATCCACTTTTATAAAAGTGGAACGAAAGAACCTCTTTATATCACAGTAAAGCCTATATTCGTTAATTATGACTGACGATTTAAACTTGAAGCCGATACACGAAAATATGCTGTATTGATTATCATGAATTTTGGTACAGAAGTAGATGAAAAGACACACTAATTTGCTTTTACTTTTATTTAATGCGTGTTGGATTTCGAGAATTACCGTTTATTCATATTCAGAACATAAACGCTGGTAAAATACGAGAATCAAGTCGGAAGTCTGGACATTGATTAAAAACATACCTATCTTTTGTTCGGTGGACGGACACACATAATGCATCCGTCCGCCACCTGTGTGTTACATTATGTTGCGCTTGAGCATTATTTTAATACTTTCAAATTCACAAGACTTATATTTTCTTACTACTATATAGTTAATAAAACTATAAACTTGACTTGTACCGCAATTACGTTTTTCCTTTGTGTCTTAAAGGAAGGTATTATTTTTAATATACTACCAGTCAAATCATGAAAAATTATCAATAACGCGCAACTTATCCGTCGTACGAGATTCGATTTACCTTTTCTAAGTACATAATTAACACTTGCTCATAGATAAACATCGCCAGAGTGTCTGTCTTTGTAAAGCAGCCGTAGAAAATTAATCGACAGATTCAGCTTCGAGGCGTGCCTCCTACGCAAGGGAGCGTTCAAGTATTAGGTACGTAAAGCAAATATTGGAGATTTTTGAACCCCCTTCCCTAAACAAATATTTCAAACTTAAGCGAAAACAGGAGGATTAATCCGCGCACTTAATACCTTGCAAGAAATAATGCGATTCGGGGATGTGAGCGCTATTGTAGGTTCTGCTGGATCTTGGGTTATCTTCAGGGTTTCTATATTTCTCCGAAACATCGTATTAATTCTCATTTAGACCTTAGCGAGTGTCTCAAGCTTAGGCCAGCCTTTACCTTCCTTTAGGTATTTATATTTAACGCATATCAATGGCTATCTCATAAATATCACTGATTATTTTTGTAACATTTCATACAGGGTGAACTTTCATAGCTAATTGCACGTAGATAAATAAAATAATCCTTTTCTCCATGTGACCAAATCGCTGTTCTTTTTATCAACGTAAGATACTCTTTACCTTCCCAAAAATTAATTTAAAAAAAATTCTTATACATACGGTTGGTTGCGCTGGAATGTTTCAAGCTCCACGTATATAAATATTAATATTTTGTTTAATTTGAAGCCTCGACATGAAACACAACCTATTATTTAAGGATTACATTTAAATTTTGGACAGATGTTCTACTTATTATCATTAATATATTAGTTACATACTTGCAATATGTTTTATAACATAGCTGTCTTACTATTTAATATTTGATTGCTGTTTATCACGTGCTAATTCTACGTCAGCTTTAATATTTTGTCCATGAGTGTACAATGCCTCACTTTGCAAATAAATAAATGAGACAAAACATTCTCCGTTACGTTACGTTATATAAAACCTTAGCAAAAGCTTAAAGCGTTTATGATCATAAAACTTTAATATCTTTAAAACTGGCTCTGGTATGACAAATGAGTTTTTTATACATTTTACGCAGATGTACGATTATTTTACATATGAATGTACTAAATAAGGTTTGGTTAATGCTAGCAACCAATCTAGTTTATAGTTTAAGCATTCCAGCGTCGGATCACTTCCAATAGGGTTACACGGTACGCTCAATATTGTAGTCAGAATAACTATTGGGAGTGAAAGAGTGCCGGTAATGCCAAGTAACCAGAGTATTTAAATTCAAAGTCTTTACTAGACCAAAATCAGCCTTACTTAAGAATAGATCTTATTCCTATTAGTAATAAAACGTTGGAACGGGGTAAGAGTATCAATGTTATTTGTCCGCTAAACACCATGTAAATACAGGTTTGGGAATCCTAGTGTCATCGAGATATAACATTTTTAAGACCTTTTTATTACTGTATGAAATTATATAAAATAAGCGGTCTGTTACTTCGAAATACAAGTGTAATGATAATTCATAGATTGTCCATTGAAATTGTTACACCTGAAGCGGCACGGGTAATACAGATTGCGTCGAATGACCAATCCTTGCAGTCTAATTTTTATTTCCGATTTTAATGATGTGATACTCGATGGACTAGGAAATTTGAAGTATTCTATTGCTAATCATTTCATATTGGCTTGTCTGTGATATGAATAATGTTAATACTGGCACGAATATCTCGAATATTATTTCATTATATCAAATATAGATAAAATACCGTATATTTAAGAAGAGCAATAGGCAATTTTAATATATTCAATAAGTATTGGCCCGAGTCTGCCACAACTGTTTTCTAACTTTCATTTGTTTTTTTTTTCTAGATAATTCCCTGATTATAATGTCGTCGGAGGTATTAAATAACTTACGTAAAGGGTATCCCGGTAACCCGGATAATTAAACACTACTACATATTTCTTTTAACAACTTTTTATATGACCTTTACAGTGAGTTCCAAAAAGATGCCTTTTGACCTATTGTTAAACATTATTTCCTTTAAATTTCCATAATTTTCATTTGATTATAAATGTAGTTTTAATTTTCAAAAAATCCAAATGTGTATTTCTAAGACAATACTGGACAATGTTATTATGTGGTGAATTTTGGTTTCATATCCACCGTAATTATCGTCAGTGCTACGAGTCGTAGACATTGCTACGAGCGTCAAATGATTTTAGTGGCTCGTAGCTGCGAGGTCTTTTATATTTCAGAACTATCTCTTCTTAAGTAACGAAATGTATCAATAGATAGATAATTTAGTTATAGCTCACATCCTTTCATAGAAATACATTAATCGAAATATTGTGATATTTTAATTTAAATCCATGTATATGCACAGTTTGAATTTTAAATAAAATTTGCCTCACAATGTAATGCTATCTCTCATGTACAATAGAATAGTTCGACTTAAAACGAACTTTCGTTTGAGAATATACAGTAATAAATTGTAAGCTTATTATACTATATCTGTATAATATTAGGTGACAAAATTCACAATAAAATGAAGATTTAAATAAATTTTGAAGTTTTATTACCATTACATATCGGCTAGACTAGGTGACTTGCAACTGTGTCTACGTTAAAATGCCTTTCATTACCGGCAGCGAGGATTGCCCTATAGCAGTGTTTCCCAACCTCTTTTGTGTCATGCCCCACCTTAGTCAACATAAAATGTACATACATAATTTTAATATAAGTAAAATTTCAGAACATAATGAAAAACGAATTGAAATTCCAAAAATTTTACTAATGATTTTTCTATAATGTTTAGTTTTTTTGCGATCCTTGCGCTTGATGCTTGCTGCATAGTGATTTTATATTAGGTTCCAATTTGGTTAGCTTCAGTCTCAAGTCTCCACGTTGTGTTATATCCAGCTGATTTCGATTGCCACCCTGTGGGGTGCGGGCCCCACGTTGGGAAACAGTGCCCTAGAGGTGAGAGTGCTATGCGACTCACCACCCAGAGAGTGTGCCCTAAACAAAATTACAGACAAAAGGTTTGTTATAATTATTTTATGAAAATCGTTTTAACTAAAGTGCCTCGCTAATATGACCGCGGTAGTCACTCGAAATGTCGAGTCATGTAAATAATGCAATTAATTCGCGTTACATGTATCAAATCAGTTTCAAGGCCATGAAGAAGTTTGAATAGTAATTAGATCAATAGTTCAACTTTTTCCTCTATTAAGATAAAATAGTACCAATCTTATTCATGACTATAAATATGCTTTTCTTAGGCAAAGAATGTTTTTATTCATTCAATGAGAGTTAGATGTGTTCGCCTGACTTAAGAGACAACCCTGTTGTCGTGCGTCAAGGCTATATTACACCGGGGCAACACTGTGCAACTTTGTTTTTAACAAAGTTAAAAATGTCGCACATTGTGGCCACACCTTGCGTCATGTGGCAGACTGTCGCAGCTTGTCCGAGCACAATTTTTATTTTGTTTTTTCCTCCTGCCCGTTTGCCATATTTTACATTTAGTGCCAGTTCTCAAATAAAGGGCGTAGAACGGAAGAGAAGAACTGGCAATAAAAATAATCGCCAAGTTTTTTGTTTTACACAACGTTTGTAAGGAGCTGTAACCATTGCACCATGATCCAGATGACATCTTAAGTAATAAATAATAATAATTCAGGATAACTAATGATACAAATTGTATTTAAAAGGCATATTAAAACAAATATTATATTGACATATTTATTAAGTAAATGAATATAAATAACCTTATATCTATGTTAAGATACTGTTGAGAAGTTCATTTATTTCACAGATCATAAATATACAGGATGTTCAAAGAAACGTCAAACCGAAATCAGAGCAGTGGCTCGCTCAGAAAATAAAAAAGTTACCACTTTGGAATTCGGACTAGATTACCATAAATTTTCTGGGGTTCACCACTAACATCACCCGATTTCAACCTGACAATGATAAAGTTCCACCGATGTGGCGACGGCTTATCTCTATATTGGCATTAATAAGTCAATGTAATTGCACTCAAAACTAAAGTACTCTTCCGTCTCTTTCTATCAAATTGATTCTGCTGTGAAAGAAAGAGACAAGTACTTTAAAACAGTGTAATTAACAGATTTTAGACGGTTATTGTTTATAAAGGATGTAAGCTTGAGCTCACAATTCACACGAAATAAGCGGCGAGTTGCGCCATCTTGTCCTTGGGCTGTTTGTTCCGATGTTTATTGTTGCGTTGTCGGCCACGCCCACGGGCCCCGCCCCCTCGCTGCGTCACCGCGCGATGCTTTTCCACCTGAAATTTTTTCATTATGAATTTTTGTCATTAATCGTCTTCCAAAAAGGGAGGTTTTCACCAGTATTTTAAGTAACACAAGGTTTGACCAGTATAATATTTGTGTATGATGATTTATTTAGGCTTCCACGCACGTATACTCAATTTGTAAATGTATGTTTGTCCACAAATTTCTCGAAATCTACAGGTTATATCGAAATCTTGATTTGAATCACGTATCCAGCTTAGAAAAAATCCAAATTTCATCAAATTCGCATTACTTTTTGAGGTATGTATTTCCATTTATGGAGGGAATACGTGTAGGTACCGACTTTAAAAACCGAGAGGCGGAGAGTTTATTGCCAGTTCTTCTCTTCCGTTCTACGCCCTTGATTTGAGAACGGGAAGTAAATGTTAAATGAGAAGCATTTAATTACCTATATAAATAAATGATTTTTGACTTTGAGAGAGGAGGTTAATCAACTAAATGTTCCTCCTAAATAACAAATGAACCCTTACCAATGCAGTAAAAGTGGGTTCGCAGTAAAGGCAGGCCGTCATCTCCGTGAGGGCTGCGGGCAGTTTGGTCCTCTCGGGCCGATATTCCACTGTGACCTGTTGAGCCCCACAATCCGGGCATTGCTGGTCGCTTACGGTCACGCGCGACGCGTCGTCGAACACGTTTATTATTACATCGCATCTGGTAACATTTAATAAAATAAATCAGTGGCATCACAACCTCTTTAGGTCTGGGCCTCTGATTTTGACACGTCATCGACTGTTTGGGTCTAAGACATGTCAGTTTCCTCACGATGTTTTCCTTCACCGTTCGAGCGAATGTTAAATGCGCACATAGACAGAAAGTCCATTGGTCCAACTACGACCTCAGGGAGGAGTCGCACAATGAAGCCACTAGGCCAACACTGCTCTAAACATTTAATAAAATAAAATAAATCAGTGGCGCTACAACCTTTAAAGGTCAGATTTCTGTATCATGATCATTAGTCAATCTGATAGCCTTCAGCCTTCTGTGCCTGATTTAATTACATTTCATATACAAAAATGTTGATTGAAAATCAAATATAATATACAACGTAGAAAAAACGTTATGGCATTTTTTTATAATGCAGGTGGTAATAAGGTGTAATTTGCATATTTTCGTTACAGTACAAGAGAAATGTAATTCACTAAAAACCTTGTTTTCCATACAAATAAATAGAAATAAAATTAGTTAATAAATTAAACACCATTACAAATTCTTCCATGGACACTTTCAATGCCAAAGGGCTCGCGAGTGCGTTGCCGACCTTTTAGGAATTGGTATGCTCTTTTCTTGTAATCTTTACACAAAAACTAGTTACATCCTAAATGTAAATTGCAAAGCAAGAAGCGGTGTGCGGCGCGCTTTAAACTTATTGAAATATACTAAACATATAGTCAATCAAAGTTAATCTGGGATGAAATTTCACCGCATACACACATACACATAGCAAGTGCTAAGCAAAATCGTTGTTGATATAATACTAACCGGTTACAAGTGAGCTTCCACCTCGGAGAAGATGGGTCCAAGACCAGAACTCCATCGCAATCGATACATCCGGACACGCCCGTGGAGTTGACTCCGTACGAGCACGTTGGGTGCGTACACGAGTTGCAGCCGAAGCCTTTCTTCATGTCCCTAATTTTGTTAGGTTTAATACAATGAGAAAACTCACATAAGAGGAATACAGTCAAACCTGGGTAAGTGAGAAAACTCTATAAGTGAGCGTAATAGCCGGGACCCGTCATTTTAAGCTCCCAATACCTCTATTAGCGAGAAACAGAAACCTCTGTAAGGGAGTCGTTAATCCCTCATGGACCTCCGTAAGTGAGACTGCTACTTATACCTCTATAAGCGACAGTCGAGCTTTATTTATTTCTATTATTTAGGAGGAACTATAGCTACAATAAAAATATATACATACATAAAAGAAACACACATACAATAACAAATGACAAAACAAATTACAAATTTAACATTTTCATTCATTCAGGATTTTTTAAAGTGTAAATAAGTTCTAAATAGTTTGGAAAATCCAAAAGTGCACGCTTCATCGCGGTCATTCACATTTAAAAAAAATTCTAAATCAAAAACTCAAGTTTTTTAAAACAAAATAACAAATAAATTATTATCTTTAAGTCTCACGCTACGAAGAATATTTAAACATACATATTTAGTGGCGCCATAACTCTAAGTTGAGGAACAGTCGTATTTTAGTCTTTTACAAATTATAATTAAACGACGGTACTTAGAACGCTAATATTAACTAGGAATCAGCCCAGGGTACTTTATATAATAAGAAAAAAAGTATTCTGGTACGATACATTTTCGACCAATTTCTCTGCCACATACATGGATCCATAAACACAGACAGACGGACGTCCAAGAATGATTGATTTTAATGTTATTATTTACTATGTTAAACAAAATAATTGTTCATAAAAAATACCATATGTGCTTGATAGATTATTTAACTCTTTTTATTTTAGTGCACTCATATTATCCTGTAAGTGTTATATTAGTGAGAAAAAAGTCATTCAAGTTTCGAAAGACTGGGTTTTTTAACATGTCGACAGTAGATCACTGCGAGGCGTGCAATTAAATAAAATATATATGCACATAATATATACTGCTCAAAACAATTAGCGGAACAAGATTTTTCTCCTTTCTATTGCTTAAACTAAAATTAGATTTAAATTAACTTGTACGCTATTTTTTACCTTGTTAATTTGTTAATTACTACAATTAATAAAAAAATTCAATTTGTATTTCTTTTATTAAAAAAAAATTAAAATGTGCATTGTAAACGAAAAACAAAGTGACGTCTTTGAATTTTCATTACTTTCTAATCACAGAAAACACATTTTAAGTAGTTTTTTTTCAATCTTTTGAGTATTAATAGAAATTGAAGTGAGCCTTTTGAGTATTGTTATTTATTGAAGCGAGTGAGTTTAGGTCATAATGCCAGATCTGACTGAATTGCATGTCTCCCGAGCTATCGCTTTGCTTGAAGAGGGTCGAACTATGCGTTATGTAGGAAATGATCTAGGAGTAGCCCCTTCCGTTATCTACAGACTTTGGAAGCGATACCGTGAGACGGGAGAATACTCACGAAGGCGTGGTCAAGGTCGAAAGAGAAAAACTACACGTTTGCAAGATCGCTACATCGTCAACTGTGCTTTACGTAACCGCACCACAACTGCAAGAGATCTACAAAATACACTAAGGACGGCTACTGGTGTAGAAATTTCCGACCAGACGGTAAGAAATAGGTTGTTGGAAGCCAATTTGAGATCACGCCGACGAGTTCGGGCTGTGCGTCTAACAATTCAACATAGACAAGCTCGCCGACAGTTCGCGCAAAATCACGCTAATTGGCAACTTCGACATTGGAGGCCAGTGCTTTTTACTGACGAATCACGATTCCGTCTAACACGTTGCGATGGTCGTCTCCGTGTTAACAGACGCCCAGGCGAGCGATACAGTGCAGCAGCAGTCCAGGAATATGACAAGTTTGGATGTGGCTCTGTGATGGTTTGGGGCGGAGTTAGTTTGGACGAGCGCACAGATCTCGTCGTTGTTCCCGGGCGCTTGTGTGCTCAAACTTACATTGAAAATGTGCTCGAAGATCATGTTTGGCCCGCAGCATATGGTATGGGCCCAGATTTTCTTTTAATGCAAGATAATGCCAGGCCGCATACTGCAGCCATCACGTCAGATTACTTACGACAGCAGGAAATCCGTGTAATGGAGTGGCCTTCCATGAGCCCTGACCTAAATCCAATTGAACACATTTGGGACTTGCTTGACAGGCGCATCCGGAAGCGTCCGATTGCACCTCAAACACTGCAGCAGCTCACTGAAGCGTTGATTGAAGAATGGGAGCGAATTCCACAAGAAGATATTCGGAGGATCATACGAAGCATGCCGCGTCGTTGTCAAGCCGTGATTAGGGCTCATGGAGGCCACACACGTTACTGAAAGTCACTAAAGACGAATATTCAAACGATATAAGAATATTTCTTTGATGGACCTTTTTTATCACCAATTAGTTTTTCGTCTACAATGCACATTTTAATTTTTTTTAATAAAAAAAAATACAAATTGAATTTTTTCATTAATTGTAGTAATTAACAAATTAACAAGGTAAAAAATAGCGTACAAGTTAATTTAAATCTAATTTTAGTTTAAGCAATAGAAAGGAGAAAAATCTTGTTCCGCTAATTGTTTTGAGCAGTATATGTTGTGCACATAATTTCATCATAATACATATTTTCTACATTCGTACTTGCTGTGACTTGTTATTGCTGCGTACCTCTATAAGAGAGAAAAGCTACCCATTACCTGCTTATCCCGGTTTGACTGTAATTATCAATTAAACGTACAAATGTAATTTAACTCACCTAAATGGCGGATGGTTATAGCAGTAGGGGCAAAGCGGAAAGCTCTTGCCCTTGGAGCCCGAGGACCACGAGAGCAACTCGAACTCATCCAAGGGGCATTTGAGTTCGCGGTAAATACGTACAGTGCCCGTTTGAGGCAACGTATACGTGTCGTCGCAATGCGAACAATGGAGACGGATTGGTTTGGCCTGAAAATTCAAAATAGTTTATTTACTGTATACATAATTTGAAATAGAAAAGAATTTTCTGTCCACCAGGACGTCGAACAGATTTAAATAATTAACTTATAGACCAAAGACGTACAAATCATAACATAGCAATTAAATCGCGTCACAAACCTGTGCAAAAAACCTGTTTCCGACAAAAATTCTCATTCCAATACAGGTGTATTCCTGTGATTTGGTTTTTTTAATTTTAGGGAATGTTTTTTTTTTTGTTTTTGATATTCTCTCATTTTTTTTTCTCTTTGATTATTGTTATTTTGTGTGTTTTTGTATGTAATAACTGTTATGTCTATGTCGAATTTATTTAGTTGAATTGGTTCACTGAAATCAAATGTTGCCATTAAATACTTATCATATGTACGTCCCTGCAAGCTTTACCTGAATATATCTCATATAACGCCGACATTTTCCGCATCTCGACAGCGCCTTTCCACTCGTCTTCAACGAGGAGAAGCTGACTTCGAACAGCTGGTCCATAGACTCCATACTCCTCACGAAATACTGGAATTTCCTTCTAAATATCTCAGTCGTATGGGAAAGTACGGCGTGGAAATCCGCTCGACCGACGGCGATGAGGTTTAGCTGTTCTTCGACCGCGGAACGCATAGTTGGTAGAACGAGTTGTGGATCAATCTGAAATATTTATTTAAAGACTGGTATTTAAAAGGATGCTTTTCAGTACTTGTGTACTACCAGTACTAATATGGATCTCAACTTGGGCGGGCGCCCACTAAAGTGCAGAATACAAAGCTACAGGTCTCAAAGATCGATGGAACGATGTATGATAGGGAAGAAAAGGATAAATAAAATAAATAATACATCATTAAGAAGAATAACGCAGGCATCAAAGTCAAAAATCATTTATTCATATAGGTAACACAATGTACACTTATGAACGTCAAAACAGACATATACACTAAATGCTTCTAATTTTACATTTAAAGCCAGTTCTCAAATCAAGGGCGTAGAACGGAAGAGAAGAACTGGCAATAAACTCTCCGCCGCTCTTTTTCATCGCCAAGTTTTTGAAGTTATACTTCTTTAGGCGCGTTATGAAAAATTGGTGACAGTGAAATTTTACGATGCGCGCGCACCGTGACACAAAATTAACAGAATGAAGTTGCCCACGGAAGATGCTACGGCATTGGACATAATTTAAAAACAACATTCGAATAATAATAGAATTTATGTTACACTTAATGTAAGAGAATAATAATAAATATTTATTTATTTAATTTTTCAACTGAACTTTATTGACTATAATGACTCCTTTTCCAGTCTTTGATTATTTAATTGTAATTAATTATTTGCAAGCAATCAAAAACTATTTTTAATAATGCCAAAGAAGTATAACTTCTTACGTGCGTACATAAGTACACGCACCCTTTTTTTTTTGTTTTACACGTTTGTAAGGAGCTGCAACCATTACACCATGTTCCACATGACATATTAAGTAATAAACAGCAGATGTCACAATAAAAATAAATAATAATCTGTAGAAATTGAGGCATATGGCAAGAGGAACATAAAATTGGAGCAATTATTACACAGGTACTATAAAAAAGACGAAGAGAATTTGGTGGATTACCAGATTAAGATAAAGCAAGTGGTCCATGACAGAGACTGGCATAGTTCAGACAGGAATGGCGGGATTAGGAGACCTTTTTGCCAAAAAAAATTAAAAGAATTAGATGATAGAAATATAAACATTATAATTAATATTAATTTGATAGCGTGTCATCAAAATTTAATAATTAATTTGATTCATAATAAGAGTAGTATCTGAAATAAAGGATTTTGACCAACTATCGCTTAACCGATCATTTAAGCCCATATCACGAAGAAGCACAGAAGTTCACATAATGTTATCGCCATCCATGGACACTCAATGCCAGAAATCTCGCGAGTGCGTTGCTGGCCTTTTAAGAATCGTAACGCTCTTTTCTTAAAGGAACCTTGGTTTTGTGCCTTTGTGATATTTTTTGTCTATTAGAAAAATATTACTAAGGTTAAGTAACTAAATATTTAAATAACCAACCTTTTGATAGCCATGCACCAAAACCACGCCCAAACTAGTTGGGACCAACCGCCGTCCGCTGCCCACATTTACGTAATTCCTTTGGCAAATATTATTTATATGTACCGGGATCGATGCGTCCGTTCCAATACCGTGTTTTTCCATTAATGTGATTAACTGGAAAGTTTTTTAAAATAATTTCATTCCCGAAATTAGTTAAGCATCTAAACCCACACAAAAAGGAACCAATATATAAGTTTTTTTAAAGGGCAAAAAGATCGAACCAAATGGCCGTTTTGTTTTTTTTTCAAAGATGGCAATAATTTTAATCTATCAATATGACTGTCACAAAATGTGTTTGACAATTAACAATAATTTGTTATATGCGAACGTGAAGAACATTAGCTATAAAATCTACAAAAAATATCCTTATATATAATTCAGTAAACGAATATAAGGGATTGAGAGAAAATCATGTGACCCACAAATGCCAAACGAGTTTGTATGAAAATGGTCACGTGACAGAACGTAAGCAAATGTCATTAAAATGTCGAAAAGTGATTTTATCTCAAGACCCAGATACATCTTTCAAACCTAAGTCAAAAATTCCACACAATAATAATTTCATACAAAAAATTAACTAAAAATAAAATAAATATTACAAATTATTTCAAAAGTATAACATATAAATACCTCAGCTTCAGTTAGGTAGTCAGGCGGTGAAGTCTGGCATTCGACCAATCTGTGTTCGTGGGCACGTAACTCTTCTCCCACATTGAGGGTAGGCACAAATTCATCTTTACCGAACGCCTATATAAGATTAAAAGTTAAAACAATCACCACGCGTTAATTTTTCATTTGTTTAAAGTTTTCATTGTATTATATCGCCCCGGAATAGTTTTAGGTTAGTTAAGTTTTACGTAAAACAAACCACTTAATTTACTAAATTACTATTTATGGTCTAAGATCCCGCTATACAACGACCTTCACCGAGAGCTATAATGAAACGTATTTTATATTAAATTTAATATGTCAATAAATATAATCCATATGGGTTGTCTAGCAAATTTTGTCCAGAGTATGTTTAATTAATAATTTAAAAAAATATTTTTTTAAACATTTCACCGGTATGATTATTAGATAAATTCTATACCAATCGAAAGTATGAAGCCCATAGAATATGCAACTTTTGCTGCCCATTCTTTTCCGGTCACAACTTCGGGTTGCCTGGTATAAACGGTAATCTGTCTAGCATTTTGCAACGGTCGTTTATTGATGAAATTTAAATGAAATTAAAGATTATTTTATTCTGAACATGGTGGTATAGGGTTGTCTGCGAAAAATCAGTCCAGAATTGCGGTTGTCGAATTTTAAAAAGTAAAATATTGCTAAAATTATTATGATTTAAAATTATCTTACCTAATACATCTTCTATATTTCTATATTAAAATATAATATATATGTATATATTAAAATATATATTTTATATTTTATTTTCGTAAATTCCATGTGGCTTAATGCAACGGATCCAATATGCGTGAAATTTGAGCCTGAGAACTGCGGACGGTTCTTAGATGAATATTTAAAACCAGTAGGATTCATTGGGGATCATACACCTTTAAAGATAGAAGACATTGTCGAAAAAAGTGAAACAGAAAGTGATGACGAAGAAGATTCAGAAGTTGAAGATCGTAGTTTTATGTCCTATGACTCGGATTCTGAATAATTAAAAAAAAAATGTATTTTTATTTTTTACAATAAATAGAAGTATTTTTTATTGTTGTTTTTGAAGTTATACTTCTTTGGCGCGTTATGAAAAATTGATGAGAGTGAAATTTTACGATGCGCGCACCGTGACACTAAATTATCAGTATGGGCGCCGAGCGTGCGCGAGCGAGATGGAAATAAGACAATCTACAAGTAGAAAGAAATAGAATATGCGTGAAGTTAGCAGCTATGCTAAGAATTTTGAATGACCATAATGACATTTACCTTTTAAACAAATAAAGGAGTTTTAATTATTTTTTCAAATAAATTTAGGAATGCTTTTTCACAAAGCCCTATTGTTACTTAGTTAAAAGGTTATGAAACATACGTAGTTATTAAATTGAATGAATAATATAATAAAATATAAATAATTATTAATATTAATTAATAATTGAATAATATACTAAATATTAAATATTATTAACGTTAAATATTTGTTATTAATTATTTAATATTTTAAAAAATAAAGAAAGCCAAAGAAGTTTAACTTCTTACGCGCGTACATAAGTACACGCTCCTTTTTTTTTTTGTCTTCTTATAATAAAAATAAAATTTGCAAGATTACCCTGAATAAAAAAAAATCACTTTTATGGGTTTTGAATTTTTTCCAATAGTTTCAAATTTCAATTGATTTCAATTTCTCTGTTTACATTTATAGATTTATAATTTGCTGTAGTAGGTAAATTTTTTATTTTTTTCAATCAATATTTTTAATCAGGGTATTATTATATATGAATCACTACAACCTTCTTTTTTACTAAAGATGTATATATACTTTAGTGTCACATAAAAAATATACACTAAATAATTAATTGATTTAAAAAAAATTCAATAACTATTTCTCTATTTAAATAATAAACTACTCCAAAATGATGCATAATTATACGAGTCCATCGCTGTCCTTTTCTTTTCCAAGCCCAAATAGCATGCGCACTCTCATCTTTAAGTGGGCGGACTTTAAACAGCTGCTATGCTGTGTCCTCTTCTTCGCATGGGATGGTCGGTTGGGACCTCTCAGTCGCACACATTCACTTGGAGCAATATTTTCTTTTTAAAATTCGACAACCGCAATTCTGGACTGATTTTTCGCAGACAACCCTATACCACCGTGTTCAGAATAAAATATCTTTAATTTCATTTAAATTTCATTCAATAAACAGACCGTTGCAAATGCTAGTACAGATTTACCTGTTTATACCAGGCAACCCGATAGTTGTGACCGGAAAAGAATGGGCAGCATAAAGTTTGCATATTTTATGGGCTTCATACTTTCGATTGGTATAGAATTTATCTAATAATCATACCGGTGAAATGTTTAAAAAAATTTTTTTTTAATTATTAATTAAACATACTCTGGACTGAAATTTGCTAGACAACCCATATGGATTATATTTATTGACATATTAAATTTAATATAAAATACGTTTCATTAAATAAGCATCTCGGTGAAGGTCGTTGTATAGCGGGATCTTATACTATTTAATCATCCACCACAAAAAATTTAAAACAAATTTAAATAAGAAGGTAGTTACGAATTTACCAAAGATTTTTATGTAAAGAATTATAACCAATCAAAAGTTTTATAAGCGTGGCGATTTCCTAAATCGTCGGAGTTAAGCCAAAGCCACACGATGCGGTAACGGTGCGGTGCGGCGCCGCACAGCAATTATTTCGAGATATACGGTGCCATAAGGGCGTTGCGGTGTGGCAATATATTTTACCCTCCCCGCCTCGTCTCGCAGGTCACATGTCCGGCGAGCTTGCGGTGCGAATCCGCGCGGCGTCGCAACGCATCGTGTGACATGGTATAGTAATTTGTATGTAGGATGACGTTGTGTGACCGCTCCGGCGCCACGCCGCGCCGCACCGTTACCGCATCTTGTGGCCGCGCTCTACGCCTCGAGAGTATAGCCAGACGTAGGCTCTCTCTTCGACATTTACATTGCATTCATTTAGCAATCGTTTCATAGTTATTAACATTTAATTATTTCGCTTATATTCTATTCTTTTACGCGAGTGTTTAATATAGACTATAGAGTAAAACTAAAATCCTCTGACCCCAGCACCCCGATGACCGCACATTTTTTTTTTACATTTAATATAAAAATATTAATTTAATTGCTCAATAAACAATTACCTGCCAATGCATAATCTCCGTGTATCCCGGATCGACCAAAGTGTTGCCAGTGTACGAAAATGTCTCCGTTCCCACTTCGAAGGTTATAACCGTGGACAAGAAGCGACAGTCGCGCGATAATGTCGCTATAAAGTGTCGCGTCACGTAGTCGTATATACGCCACATGTCGCCGTCTAACTCCGAGTCAGCTGGAAGTATAGCAATTATTAAATAAGTCTAGGAATAGTAGAATATTGCGATTTTTTTTTTAAAAGTCCGAACTTTTTTACTGATGTTTTTTGTCCGTTTATAAAGTGAATAAGTACTGTTTTCTTCAGCATTATTTATAACAAAATTCCATTGACGAAACCCATGATTCGAAATCTCGACCCCAGGAATGAGTGAGGGTCGCGCGCTTAAACCACTGGGCCAACACTACTCCTTACGATTTTATAGATTTTACTTAATATAGCTAACGCAATACCAATAATAAACGCATTGTATATTTAAAGGTATATAATATTAATTAAGAACATTTAAAAACTAGACAGCTTAGAAGTTTTGATAGAACACAATATCTTAAAACAAATTTGTTATGATTTGAAGTCGGAATGTCACATCATGAATATTGTGAAAAAGGCTAATTCCATGCTCTATTTAGTGAGAAAATTATTCAAATGCCTTTCACCAAGAACACTCTTAAAGATATATAAATGTTACATTAGACCACTATTAGAGTATGCCTACAGCATTTGGGATCTTTATTTCACATAGGATATTAGTATGTTTGAAAGGGTTCAAAGAAAAGCCACGAAAATGATCAGGTCACTCAGGAAGAAATCTTATAATGAGCGTCTGAAAGCACTTGACCTTACTGATTTAGGAAGTAGGAGATTAAGAGGAAATCTCATTAAAACCGATAAAATCCTCACTGGCCACTAATGTTCCAGGAATTGAGAAACTCTTTACTTTAAGTGAAAATACACATTAGAGGGGTAGTTCTTTAAAACTTAAGACCACTCATCATAACACAAATTCCCTAAAGAACTTTCTCCCAAACCGAGTAGTGGCCGACTGGAATAGGCTTCCGGAAAGTGTAATCAGTGCACCATCTTTGAACTCCTTTAAAAATAGATTGGATAGTTTCTCCAAATCTCAAAATACACGCGCATCAGCTTATTAAGCTGCTAGTGTGTTTATATACATAATAATAATAATAAATTAAAATCAGTGGCGCGATTCAATCATTTTAGTTCTGGACCACAGATTACTGTATCTGTTTCATGATCATTTGTTAATCTAATCAGCCCTCTGTGCCTGACGTACGCCATCGACTTTTAGAAAGGCAAGCCGCTTTCCTCACGATGTTTTCCTTCACCGTCCGAGCGAATATTAAATGCATATATAGAAAGTTCATTGGTCAGTCATACAATATCTTAGAGATAAAATTAAATTGTTATACATGATATATAAAGTTTCGGAATAACATACATGCTAGTTTCATTGGTGTGATCGGAGGATGGTCTCCTACATCTTTCCCTTTCTTGGGTTTGTTGATACCATTCGCTATCAACGCTCGTACGTCCGCCCCCCACTTGTTTGAATTCTGTTGCAGGCGGAGAGCACCTCTGAATATTAAAAAAATATAATATTAAAGAACTTTATTTCTCATTACAAAAAATAATTTTTATTTACATGAGAAATTTAATATTATAATATTATATTAATATTATTTTATATATATATATTATGAACGAGATACACGTCGCCATCAGCTAGCCCAATTTTAGTCTGGGCTATGAATGAGCCCATTTTTGTCTTTGATTTTCTTATTTGGTGTAATCAACAGTAATTATTAACTTTATTACACACATTACCCACACATTGTCTATGCTTGAAAACGAAATGCATTTTCGAGTATTCCTACGAAAAATTAATACGTTTATTATTTTTAAGAGCTTTGCTTACTTTTGCCGACAAGAGGAGGGGTAAATCTGCTTACGTAATACTTACACGGCCCCTAAGAATTGATACACCCTTTTTAAAGTCGGTAAAAATATAGAAATCAAATTTTGCGTCGCCAAAAATGGATTGTCTTCGTAGGGTTTGGTTTTTGGGATGCAGATAGGAGATCGATCGACTATCACGGTCTGATTGGGATTGTGGATTAATTATTGCGTTCGGGCGTTAGTCAATGTTAATAAATTTATAAGAACTTACATCAAATCAAAGTTTTCCGGATAACTTGTCGTCTCAGTACGGGGATATGAGATATAACCTTGTGTGTATAGACGCTCTGCCACCTATAACAATTTGAATGTCAATCCAACGCCACAGAATATTAAACATACCTAAAATGTTTAACTGTAGGGTAGTTTGTGTGACAGCAGTACCTGCATAGCATTGTGTGGTCCAATACCCAATCCGGAACTGGCCACTCTCATCAGCTCCACAGTGTTTAGAGCCACTGGCCGAGCTTTGATTTTCTCTTTTGCTTGGATGTTCACAACTCTGCAAAATAATATATAATATTATCTGATCAATACTTACAATATAACTAGAAACCTTAAGTCACTTATATGTAAAAATTAAGACAGTCCAATTGCACCGTTTAATCAAAATCATACATACTTAATTTTAAGAGATAGTGAAAAGAGTTTGTTAATCAAAAGATTGCAGTTGGATTTATTTAGTTCCGGCAGGCCCATATCCTACGACATTGAATTAGTATTGAATATAATACAGGCATTTACAGATATTTTAATGATACATGTGTGATACTTTTAGTTTTCAGCTATATACACATGATTTAACGTTTGTTTTAACTAAGATCCTATATCACCACCAGATAAAAATCATACTAATATTAAATAAAAAACTTACACAGCTTCCTTTATCTCTTTAATGCTTGCCAAGAACATATTAGCGATATCCTTTTCAAAAACACGGACTCTCTTCCACTCTAATGGGAGTTCTCGACCTTCAGTTGTAGAAGCTGTCACTCGTAAAACCCAGTACGACTCTGGTTTAAAGGTCTGAATATCATCGTGACGCTGAACACAGAATCCAAGGGTTGGTGTCTGACATGGACCATAGGAAATAAGGGACGAATCCAAATCACCATAACGGCCTGAAAATTCAGTGTTAAGGATACTATTCTCCTTAAATAAACTTAATGCCACAGTAGTGTGTAAACAATATTTTCAATCTTGCTACAAGAGTTAGTAGCAAAATAAGGTAAATAGCAATAGTAACATTACTCAGTGGACACTACAGCAGAAAAGGCCAACAGGCAGACCCAGTACAGATTGGGTCTCTTTTTAATTATTGTGGATTAAGAATGATGGGAAAGTTTACAAACTTTAGTGTCTGTGGGACACTATGTAAGGTACAAGGGAGGTATTGTATTAGCCAAGCTAAGAAGCTGTGGTGCCACTGGATATACATATTATGTATGTTTACTAGACTGATTGTCTATAGAATCATCAACACTGTTTAATGTGACTTTATCTGGCTACATAATAACTTATACCCAATAATTACTTTTTAAATAAAAAACACTGTTATACAAGACAGAATTCAATCAGAAAAAAGTTTAGTTTTGATTTCTGTACAGATTACAAATTAAATCTTTAACTATTATATGCTTAGAGCTACATATTAATTAACATAAAAGAGATTAGACACCTTGAAAATATTTAGTTTGAAACCTTGTAAAGGCACAGCCAATTCTCAAATCCAATTCCTGTCTAGCATCAACACTTCGTGATTCATTTTCATTTGGTCTAACAAGATTTAACATTGCTGCTTTTATGTCTTTGTCAGTAATAGCAGAAAATTTTGCACGATATGTCACTAGCGGTGAATATACATCACCTTTCATAAAGGGAGCAACACAACTCATCACCTGAAATATAGTTTTAATGAAGATTTAGAAACTGATATTGTTTTTACAGTTTAAGCGCTGAGTATTAAAATGCACACAGTGGTTAGAGTAAAAAAAAATTAATGTTTTAGAAGGAAGGTATTAATTTAATTTAAGGAAGGTAATAATTATTTAAAGAATACAAAATCTATTCACTTATTAAATCAAAAACTAAAAAAAAAAATTGAAAATTATTTAGTTTGGGAGACATACCTAAAATGCTATTTTTATTTTGATAATATATTATCAAAATAAAAATAATATATACAAATATATACAATTGTTATCTAAATGGTATTACCTCAAAACAAATGTTTTCTCCTTCTTTATCACAATCCAACCACAGTATAAGATAATCACATCCCCTGCCTTCCTGCGCTAGAAAGGCAGGCATATGGAGTCTTGGCATTGCCTCCTTCTTTTCAGTGGGGCAACTAAACAGCTCAATGGGGTCGACTTTGTCCCAATTATTAAATTTCCCAGTAAAATCTAAACTCATTACATGCCCACACACAGATGTCATCTTGAACTTCACCGATTCATTTTTAAATAAACCGGTCCATTCATGAACAGAGCAGGCTGTATTGGAACCTAAAATTTATGCATTATTACAAATCTTTGTTGTAAAAACACCGATCAAGTAACAAGTCCCAAATATACCTTTATTGGTGATGCATTTTCCATTGCTAAGTATATTGGCCAAACTCTGAGCTAAAGATGGCTTTTCTGCCACCATAAAGGCAGTCTTCATCCTTAGTAATTTCTATACACTATCATATAAGAATAACTTTAGTTTATATCCAAGCAACAAAATTTCTCCACACTAGCCTAGCAATATGATTTAAATTTTAAATTAATTAAATGATAAAACTGACAGTCGACAGCCGTGAGCCGGTGTCCGCGCTTTAACACTGATAGACGTATCACGTAAATATCTGTAAATGAGTTAATGACATTATTGACATTGATCGTTTTCAACGTCAATGAATGTCAATGCATATAATCTTACTGCAATGATTGACATTGACATAATTGGTATTCACTTTGTGATATTCTGCATTATGGTTTTCGCGTACAGCGTACTAATAATTAATATTCGCGACTAAATTATACCTTGGATCAATAAAGATTTCACAAAAATTATTAATTCGAATGGTTTAGTTTTGAAAACAAATTATTGGATTTAAATAATGTGTAGTGTTTTCCCTGAAATAATTCAGTAAGATAAAAGGAGTGGTTCTAATAAATATTATTCAAAATGGTACGTAGTTAGGTGGTGTTTTACGTAAACGTTTATTTATTTAGTGCGGTTGAGAACAGGCCTTCAACTAATTCTCTTTTGTTGTTCTTTTATTGTAGAGTCAAACGCGCATTGAAAATATGTGCCCCGCAACGCATCTTCGTGTAATTTTGCCGTCAGCAATGGAAGCCAATAATATGCCACCAACTTACATTGATATCAGTAAGAAACCTTATCGACATGTGTCACTATATTTATATACTAGGAAATGATAAAGTTATTCACATAATAATGTGAATGTTTACATAGAATATGTGATTGTGGATGTGGTTGCTAGACAGTCATAATAGAGGTATTGGAGAGACATATATATGTATATATATATTTTATAAATCCTTCCAAGTTAATTTTAATGAATATGTCACAATATGTGTCAATCAATCCTTACTTCCTTAATTGTGGTAATGTCATCTTTATTTATAAAATAAACAATATTTGCTAACTTATTATTGAATGTATACTAAATAAACTATTGTAAAATTTTTGTTTTTATGTATTCTACTACTAAAATCTATCATGATTCTCTCTTTAGTAGATTTAATAATTTTATGAAACAAAATAGATAAAAATAAACTTTAATTACTTTGGATCCTTGATTTCACTGGATTTCAAGTCAATAATTAATCTCAACCAATGAATAGATACCATGCAAGTTAGTAAAATTAGTTTCACTTAAATGATTTTGTATAAGAAAAGTATGATTGCCATTTGCATACTAAGTAGATTAGACAACCATTATCTTACTGCATATAAACATAAATTTTATTCTGTTTAGGTGGTCACAACATGGACATTCCTCCCCCTCGGCCAGACTTCTCTGCTCCACCACCATATGATGTCGCAGCAAATTCTAAGCTCCCAACATATGAAGAAGTACAGCGTGAAAAGCAAATGGAAGGGGAGGGACCCCAAGTAAGTTTGTATTTTAACTATATAGAAACTATGATTAATGAGTATGGCCTACAAAACAACTAAACTTTCAAACTACTAAACATAACACTCACAACGTAAAATAATATTATATTAATATATAACAATACAAACAATAGTATTTAGGAAACGATAAGAGGATAGCTTTGTGGAATAAATAATTTTTGGTGAAGAATTTGCTGTTGGGCACTATTCCTTCACTTTCTACACAATTCTAATGGCCATTTTAAATATTATTCTAGATTGAAATTCGCAAAAGTAAATTCAATATTTATAACAATCAATTGATTCTTAAAATTATACATTAAATCTAGGTTGCATATTTCTAATTATTATTGAAGCTTTACATTCACCCAATATGTTCTAAGTGAATTTTAGAATTGGGTAACATAGGGACTTTTCGAGCAGGATAATACCAGTACCTATGAACTATCAATAGGGGAAACCCCAATATTTATATTCAAATGAAGTCGGAATTCTCTGACCAATAAAATTGTCAACTTCAGTCATAAACAATAAAAATACATTGATTTAAATTAAAAATGTTTTTAAATAAATTGTTTTAATCATGCTAACCCGTCTGTGTATTAAAATTTTTTCTAATTATTTGATTACCATACCATCTTTGTTACTTAATTTGTGAGCATCAAATTTTGGAAACAATTTTTTTAATTGGTAAGAATTTTTCCATCTGCTTCTTCAGTCTCCTTTGCACTGTCCTGTTGGGAATTTATCTACAACAAATATTTTTTATTAACCAGCTACCAACTCACCCTACAATAGCTGCATTTGTGACCATGGAACCCAGGGAACCAACGGCACAGCAACTCGACCCAGAGAACAATTTGCTTGGGACTGATTTCATGTTCCTGACTTCCTTTTTTGGTGAGTGTTACATACTATAAGTCAATTCAAGCTACATTACTATAATATTTAAACATTTTCTTTTTCCTTATCAATAAATGTATTTATACCAAAATTATTCTTAGATGACATATTTTCTTCATTTTTTTAAATATATTACCTCATATACTTTTGTATAAAATTGAAATTTATTGTGTTTCAATTTTTTCTCAAATTTTTTCTTGGTAAAACAAATACATATGTACATTTAGTACTTTAATTACACAGTTGTTTGAATATAATATTTGTTATTAAAGTTATTTTGATCATTTAAGATAAAGGTCAAAGAAGTCTTAGCCACACTTATTCTCTTGATTCGCAATGAGGATATACATCAACATAGTATGACGGCCTACGCGTTAACCTTTAACCTCTGTAAAGTTCGATCGATGTAAGCTTTTCATTAGAAATACGTTCAGAGTGACCTTTTCTACGTCTTATCGCTAACCAGGCGGAAATTGGCGAGGCTATCACGCAAAGTAATACATAGCTTAAGTGTAATCTGTAAGGCTAGATGGGTATAAATTAAATAAAATCGGTTTAATGGTGAAAGTAGTATATTTGGTCTTTGGTTGACAATAAAATTGACATTATTAGTAAAGGACGCATAATTTTAGGTGCTGGAAAATTATGTTATATTGAAATCAATTAAATAAAAATAAAATATATCACGTCCGTGAGTCGTTCTCTGACCTCCTTAAAACTATAATAAATCTCAATGGCTGAATTCAACAGGCAGCCTTATCGCTTATTAGCGATCTCTTCTAGCGCATGCTAGGAATGAAATAAGAGAATATAAAATAGAAGGAACGAAAGTGTCTAATTAAAGATATTTCCAACCTTCGGAGTTAATGACCTCTGACAAAGCTCGGTCAAGTGAAGTAATTTGAGATATCTTATTTGAATTAGTACTCCTTTTAACAATCGTATAAAATCCAATAGCGCTGAAACCTTTTAGATCTGGGCCTCAATTTTCTGTATCTGTTTCGTGATTATTTATCTTTTCTAATAGGCAAATAGGTGATCAGCCTTATGAGACCGACCGTTAACTTTTTTGGGTCTAAGGCATGCTCAGACCCAAAAATAAATTTTTATTTACCGTACGAGCAAGTGTTAATGCGAGAGTCACACTCTGAAGCCACAGCTCAACATATAATAAAAAATATTTCTTGGAAAGAATAAAGTAAAATACATCCTATAATATTTTTTTTTCTATTTTTATATCTATATCCAAATATATTTTTCAATATATAATTAAATTTAAATATTCTAGTGGCATTTCTATTCAACTGGATCGGGTTCCTTCTGCTGATGTGTTTCTGTCACACGGTGGCAAGTCGCTACGGAGCGTTGGCTGGCTTCGGTCTCTCACTCGCCAAGTGGACACTCATTGTCAAGCACTCGACTGAACTCGCATCCCACGAGAATTCCTGGCTCTGGTGGCTCATTATGGCTTTTGGTAAGATTTTTCAGCCTTCATTGCTTTTTGATTAATATATCCTATTGCATGTACCTTGTTGGTTGAAATTCGATTGTAGTGCTTTATATTACGTTGCATTTTGCAATGTACATTACTTTGACGGTCATAACCCGTTGTTTATCGTCGCTTGATAAGATGTGTTCGTGCGTGAAGTCTTTTTCTACGGTCCTTCAGTAGGTATAAACTCAAATAAAATTAAAGTTTATAATACCTTCGCTTGAACACTACTTAATATAAAACAATTGTCAAATATACGACGAACTTGTGGTTCAACCCATCAGCTCTTGGGAGGTTTATTCTAATACAATATACAAGTACCAAATAGGTCCAAGTGGTTGAAGTTTTCTTATGTACATTGTCTATTATTATATTAATTAATAAAAAGAGTATCGCTTTTTCTCTTCGGTTAAAAAAAGTTTATTTTTATTTAAAAAATATGTTTGTCACTTTCATGAAAAAAAATATTTAAAAAACATGAAAAGTAAAATATATCACGCACCGTCGTAAGCTGTTATTGCATTAGTTTCCATCTACCAAAAAAATTCAGGTTTATTCGAAACGGCTCCACTGCTATTATTTCCCGTATCTCAAGAGGCAAGTTGTTGTATAGACTCGCTCCGAAATAGGTTATATTTTTGCGACCTTATTCGGATCTGATTTTAGGTAGATCTATGGATTAGTGTTATGCCGGCTACGTGTGGGATTGAAATTAATTTTAATAGCTTGGTTATGTATTTATTTTTTAGCTGAAACTACTTAATGTTCATTAATTGTGTGTCAAAGTATAGTTTGTAAGTGGGAATAAGAGTAGGATAAAAAAGAGGATTAAAATCTCTTAAACAATAACACATTCTTAACAAAATAACTTAGTCTTAAAAATATTAACCTCGCATACGTTCATCTTAAAAGTAATGTAGATTCATTGTAAAATGCATATTTGATTTTTTTAGTAAGTATAAAACAATAAAAAAATATATATATACTATTTAATCATTTTATTACAGGTATCCTAATCTGTGTTCGTGCAATCATTCAGTACCTTAACATAAAGCGTGGATGGCGTCTGCTGTCCGGCACGGCTCAAGAGCGACTGCTCTTTTTCTATTAAATTAATATCTATCTCGCTCGCACTCACTTCTATTTCGTATAAGTGTGAATGTGTTAAAAAGATAACCGATAACTCAAAGTTTTCGGGCTAATGTGTAGTTTTTGTTCATATAAATGATTTCCATAAATTTTGCTAAAATTTAATTAGTGTATGTAATATATTGTTATTTGTTTAATTCAATGGTATTCGTGTTATTTTTATTGAAATTGCATTAAAGTACTATTGTCTAAATTTATGAATTGTATTTTGAGTGAATTGAAAGGAATCTTGTCAAAATGTCCAAATATACAAATTTTGTCAGCAAGAACCGTTTTCTGAACTGGATGTAATTTGAAACTAGATGTAAAAGTGCTTTCTGTAACAATTAAGGCTTACTTTGACTCAATTCAAATTAAGGCTTTTTGTTTTGTGTGTCTGGACCTTTACAGAAATTGGAAACGCTTAGATTGTTCCACATCACCTAAAACTGTGTTAAATATTTCGTATTGTGTGACCTATCTTATAAGCCGAACGGTATTCAGTATAATTTAATTTGTACCTGAAAATATTTGGATTTAATATACCATTTATTTGTTCTTCAATTAAATAAATAAAAAACCAATTCAACCTTAGGCGAGGAAGTAAAAATTGACAAGTGACATTTCAACATGGCGGCCATAGTTCTGTCATTTCACAAGTGAGGCTATAATAATTACAAATTTTGACATTTAAATATGATCTATTATACACGCTTTGTATCGTAAAGCTAAAGATTTATTTTGATACCATAAAGGTGAAAAACGTCTATAAATGATTTCTATGTAAATATTTTATTTGTATATACTTAATTGTACTCTAGTTAAATATTGATTAGTTTATATATTGTTTACATTAATGTATAGTTTCGATATGGTCTTATTAAATGTATTGCTTCAATCAGTAGAATGTCGTAACGTGAGTCACGAGAGTAATAAATATTCGAATGTCGTATAAGATTTCGTTTATGGTTGGGTTTTTGGGATTTTTAATATTTACGCCTCTATACATAACCTAACGTTAACGATTTGTCCCCATAGTTTAAAGGTTTTGGTGTAATTGCAAGAAAAATAATCTGAAAACGTTATGGTAGACTGGAAACAGATCTAAAAACGTTTTTCTCACATGTATACATGTACACAATAATAAATATTTAAAAGATCCTATTTTGATATGGTCGGTAAAATTTTCCTTGCTCATTAGAATTCTGTTCCGAGGTAATTAAAACATTTTAAATCTTATCTTTTTAAATAATCAATAATCTTTTATTATATTTCAAACATAAAAAACTCAACTATAAACTAGTAATAGGTAATGGATAAATAAGCATGGATATCCATAAATAAAGCAAGAATACCTCAACTGTTAAAGTTGTATGTTTAAACAATCATACTTCCTAGATTTTTTATATGACATTCAAACCGACACTGATTCTAGCCAAGCAAAACCTTATCATCTATTACTTTAAATTGTAAGACACTGCGCACCAAATATTTGTCTAGTGACATCCAAATATTTTGAATTTAAGTGCAATAAATAGTTTATAGTAATTTTATTTTGTAATCAAGTCAATAAATTGTATATTTCGAAAAATTAAACATATTTGTCAATTGTACAATTTTCGCGCGTAACTTAAATGATGGGTAAAACATGGCGCGTTTCATTTGATTGTCATTTGTCAACAGAAAGTCTGACATATCACAATGTAAGGCCCAATTAATAGATGACATTTGACACCTCATCAAAATTCAATAACGTATATAATTATATATTAATATATTTAAGTCGAGGCAGAATATAAAATCCATCACCTCGACGTCATTCCACAACTGTGCTTTTTTAAAACATTGCCGCGCACCACCACTATGTAGAGCGGCCCACTGAAGTGTTTCCGAACCAATTCGAATTAGGGTCCTTGAAGAAAAAAGCGTACCAATTCTTAAAATGTATCTATCTATGGGCGGCGGGTATCACCTAACATTAGGTGAGGCCACTTACCCCCGTTGTATAGAAATCAAATACGTTTTCAACATACACATATATATAAAGTCACACTTAGTATTGACTCTCGGCTCTGAAAATCACCCTTATTGAGACCCCAGTGGATTTTTTTTTCTCTGACTACGAAGAACTACAGACCAAAAAAGAATTGCGATCTTTTGATTCTATGTACTTTAGCTTAAAGTTGGATTAAAAATATTGTTAGGTAAGTGTAGGATTAGCACAAATCTGTGTATGTCAAGTTATTTCGTTAATTTAAATTAGAATAAATATTGAATGCTAAAAATATTGCATTGCCTGAGATATATTAGTAATTTTAAAAAATTACGTCATGGTTAGTTTTTATCGTTCACGAATACAGTTTATTAAAGCGTTTGATTCAAAACCTGACGTCTTCAAAAGTCCTTTTAACTTGTAAAATATAATGAATTTTTTGGTTTTGTCGGCCTCTAATTTTTGTTTATATGTAATAATCGAATTGCAATGTAACGGAACATACTCGTACACCACACGAATATGTTCGCTGTGGATTTGCGGATCGAATATATTTTGCTGTCTGTAATTATTTTATATAAATGCTGGTTGTACTTTGACAGAAAATAAAGTTTAATTATAATTGAATGTGTGTTTTTATTTATAAAATATTTTATCACTACTTCAGAAACAAAGTCCTTCGCCGCGTATGTCTCGATAAACTTAAACGACTGCACGAATCATGCCGTTTGATATCTTTCTAAGTTATATAATGAGGCCTGTATTCACTTTGATTAGTGCGAGTGCAAGTGATTAGGAGAAAACAAGTGTGGATAGCGACTAAAGTGAATACAGGCCTTTAGAAGCTTGTTCTATTTTTTTGCGTGTGAACTGCGAGTAGTGACGTCGCGTGCGCCCTCCCTTCCCCCTCACTCGTAGGGTGCCTCCCAAACTATATGACAACTGAATTTACTTAGAGCCACTAAACAATAATTTGACACTACTTGCACTACACGCCTGCACTAATCAATGTCAATTACTAATCACTTGCACTCGCACTAATCAATGTGATTACAGGCCTTAAGGGAGGATTAGGTAGGTATATTGTCATGGTTTACCGATACGTGCCTAGTTGAATATATTTTTATTTAAAACTTATTGTATAAGTACACAAAATAACGAGATACAATTTCCGAATGTAAAGTAATTATTAACATTTATTATTACGAACAAATTTTGGGACCTTTTATAAATTTATCTAGGCATCCCATAATTTCCTTGCAAAACTAATAATAAAACTCTCTATTGCACTAAAAGTATATGTCAATCTTTTCTATGATTGGTCTTTGTCATCAATAGACATAATTAAACCTCTTAAACCATAATTTCCTTGCAAACACATAATATCCGGTTTACAAAATGCCAAAATGAAATGGCCGTGCGCTCCGGAGGGACCCAAGTCATATTGCACTAAGAAGCCCTCATTGGAATCCTCAAGGAACCTGGCAACGAAGCATCATTGCAGAGGCGAAGGGAGCAGGGATGACGTGGAGTAAAATTAAGTGAGCTGCCCAGGACCGATCACGCTGGTTTTCTACGCTGAATACGCCCCACTTGGGGGACATGGGACTTAAAGTCAACATCCTATTAGTCTTAAGTATATCCTGGAATTCTTTCCTTTCTATGTGACCTTCTTCTTCTTTGCTGCAAATCCGAATCATTTGATACATCATCAGATCGGTCCACGGACGGAGCAATGCTTGGACATACAAAAAATAACACTTCGAATTTATAATCTCTTTCGGATGCTTGAAGTTGGTAATAATCATGGTTGAAACAAAACCAAAAACCTTGATAATTATAATTCAATTAGGTACATGAAAATATTTTAAAAGTGAACTCTTATTCCTAAAGACATTGCTCTTGTAAGTGATAGACTCCAAACAGAAAATTTTATTTGCGTAGATTACATACTCGTATAGTGAATGAATGATGAGCATTGCGCCGACTCTAAGAAAATGGGGCAAGGCCAGAGTTTATTATGGACCCCGTAAGGAAGCGATCTACATATACCGCCAAAAAAGCTTTAGCTAAAGTTATCTGAAGCTTGCATATATATAACATGTAAGATATAAGATCTTAAATTAAATTAATAAGAAGTTATATGTCAAATTTAAAGCACAATTGTACCTTCTTAAAAATTTCTGTCTCTTTTCATAATAGCGTAAATATAATTTGACCGAAAGAGACGAAATAGTCATAAGATTGGAAATAGGCTGATTTTTATCAATCAGGAGCTAAAACGAACATATTAAATTTATCATCAATTTGTACTAATATTGATGACAGTTAAAAATTTCTAGCGGGTTAAATTAATAAACCGACCAATTGACCGGTTAAATTAAAAAATGTAGTAAGACTGCCGATTCGGCTACTAACTATCTTTTATGCAACCCTTAAGTATGACTAAGGGGCGGCCACTACTTTCAAACCCTTTTTTTAGTTTTTTGATAAAGGTTGTGTCTACTTTTTATGATACAGCATACAAAAATACATACAACCCCTAAAAATGTTTCTAAGAAATAATATACATGGTAAAACAAATGTTTGCCGGGTCAGCTAGTAATGTATAAATATAACACACATTGACTATAAAACTTATTTTTATACGTTAAAACGTGGCAAAAAATCAAACTACACTAATACTACTGTAATTTATATAAGTAAACTTAATCTTTCGCTTTTCATCATACGTAAACATAAATTGACAAAAAGGGACGAAAGAGTACTTTCGTTAAAAGAGCAAAGAGACTAGTTTAATTAATAATAAATCTTACTCTTGCTGTGTTAAGCGTAACTGTTGTTTATCAAATTGTTATAGTTATAAATATTAAAATTGGCTTCTATTCATAGATCAGTTTGTGTTAATATTTGGCTCTGGTTGTGAAATATGAGTTTTAACTTGTTATTTCTGGTTTGAACCAGCTTTAATATGAACCTATATATAGCTA